TCGGCAACAGGACTATATATATAACATAGGTTAGGTCTACGTGTTGATACCCACAACGTGGTAACTCTAGCCAAATTGTGTAAACCACTTAATGCCAATTTTAGACTTTGAAAAGTTTCCAAACACACACACACACACACAAACACACACATATACCTATATGTGCAAGGCGTACCTATGAAACTGTTTGATTTAGTTGGATAGTTATAAGTCTTAAAAGGGTATATTTATAATTTTTTCATGATCGATTATAATTCTAGTTAAAAGAAAATATGCACAAATTTTGTTATATTTATGTCCTAAAAATGTTTAAATATATGTATGCAGATGTTCCCTAAAAATACCAAAATTTGACTTCAATAAATACTCGTAAATAAAAAGAAATTTAGTAAATTCTAAAATCATTAAACTTTTACTCATTAGTAATACTTATTTTATCAACAATTATTTATAATTTTTGTGTAATTTTTTTTTTGTTTTCAAACTCTTGAATTTAAAATAACTTAAAAGCAGACAAAATCTTTAAATATTTTCTAAATGTCTAAAAACGTTAAAATATAAAAAATAAAATCCGTTATCTACATTAAATAGTTAGGTCATAAAACATATTTTGTTATAAACTAGGTCTGGTTGGTTTGTTTTGACTAATCAATAAAAACATGCAGAAATATATATATATATAAATATCTGTCTTTGTTATGATATAATGAAGGTCCGGATTTTTGTTAATTATTTTTTTTTTTTGATTGCTCTAGCTAATACAAATAATTTTAAGCACATAATTCGATTATAGATGTTTTAGATTAATCAAAATTTTTATTTAAACTTTAAAGGACATTTTTCGATATTTCAGCGTGGTCTTTATAATTAAGGTTCAAATTTAAACAAATTCAAAATATCTCACTATAATGTGTGTAGATATAATTTATTGAATTTTCGCATCTTGAATGTTATTTGTATCATTATTAAGTACATTATATCGTAGTTTTTTTTTTATTTTGTTAACGTCAAAAAAAAACATTTTAACTGTATACAATGAAAATATTATATTATATTGAATTTGAATATTTTTGAATTTTGTTTCAAACAATATAATTATCCCTTCCCGCACCTAGAAATCTAAAATTTCTTGAAATACGCCAAACTCGCCGATTACACAAAATATCCACAGGCTATAATGTAACTATAATTAGTGAAATAATAACGTAAACATTCTTCGAAAGTTATAATTTTACATTTAATTATTATTATTTTACTATTTATCTCGAAACATTCGTTTTTAATGTTTTATATTATTATACATTAATAGAACTTATTTCTTGCATAGAACGCGAAAACTTCGATAAAGTTGTTTTAAAAGTTTATACAAATTTGTAAATTAAAATAATATTTACATTATTATTATTATTATGTTCACAAGTGTTTCGTAATATTTTTCGAAAAGTTCCGTTATTTACGTATATTTTCTCATCTCTACCCACCTTCTCCCACGATAAAGGTGTCACGTCTCCTTGTTATGCACGAAACAAAAAAAAAGAAAAGAAAAAGTTTTTAATATTTTCGAAAATCCATGTAGAATGTACATACATAAAATTATTTACAACTCGAATTGCCGAGGTTTATAAAAATAAAAAAAAATTACGATTTTTACAATATACTCACCATAATAATATTATAAGTACAAACAGATCTCTTTGGGCGTAATAAACTCTGGATATTTTTGTATATTGTATTATTTCAAAGTATATTTCAAGACACGACATTACTCTAAAATATTTCTTATTCAAGTATTTGATATGTATTTTTTTTATTATCAGGTCATAGCGTGCGAATGTATCGTTTAATCTTCTGCAGAAATACGTCACACCGCGTTATTCGTATCGATTCGAAAAAACTAAAATATAATACTTTATTCAATTTCGTGAGTCTAAGGCAATCACTAACTAGTTAGCTGTCTAGAAGTAACTTTCATTAGCAATTTGTGTACCCTAACTAGTTACATCATTATTACCGATTAAGTAAATTAACTAGTTACATTTTTCAATAAAATAAATGCAATTTAACGTCAAATTAGATCAAAAATGAAATACTGGAATGGCAACAAGTCTGCTGGGAGTAAACACAACTCAAACAAGCTGCTCATTTTTTTTAACAAACTAAAACAAGATAATTTAAATCGAAAAAAGAGCTAGCAGGTGTGCCCATGTTGTAGATGGAATAATATAGAATATATACTATACATTTAAAAATGTATTTTAATTTTTAGAAAATTTGAATTTAATTTACTTATCTATAACGAGGACTATCGTAGTTACTGTAATTATGTAATTGTTTTTATAAACATTTTCAAAAGAGTTTCAATCCCGTTTATTACACTTACTTTTGGTTTTTTAAATGGTAACCTATATTAAAAAGTCTATAAATAGATATTCCACTTTTAAGTTTGGGTTGGAGAAGAGTAGTGGAATATCTTTAGTATGGCAGTACGGCGAGCGGCGTTTATAATGCACCACTAATCTCTTCCAACTTAAAATTAAAAGTGGTAAATCTCGTCAACGGCTTGACAGAAATCAAACATTTTAACACTACAATTTATTTAAGCTAATATTCAATCTATGTGTGGACTTTTTAATATAGGTTGCCATTTTAAAATCAAGAGTAGGCAGTTGTTTTACCCAAAAACAAGGGTGACAAAAAATTACAGAAATATAAAACTGTGGAGCAGTTGGTTGCTTAAATTTTCTAGAAAACGAATTTCGGAAAAAGGTAAATTTAACACTTTCCGAGATAATGAGTGTACCCACTTAAATGAATCACCTGGTATATTAATTCTGAAATAGCGGTCACAGGAACATGGAACAGGTACTTACACATGTGTAGTACCCACGCTATTCAAAACATCCAATAATCACTTAGATAAAGTAGAATATAATACGGCGGGAGCGTCCAGTAGTCTGCGAAACAGACACGCTGAGCCCTTTTAATTTTGTATGCAGGTAGTTTGATCGATATGCCGAAACTATATATTCGCAGCTCCGGTGAAACCTTAAAAACGGCCAGTGATCAGTTCAGGTAAATATACGCATAATAAAACTTTATTGGGAAATATCATTATAATATTATACTGCGGTACACCTAACGCCCTATAAGTAAAATATTGACTTTTCTGCGGTCAATATGCTTCGAATATCGCAATCGGCTTATCGTCAAAAAGACGTATTGATGAGTTTCTTTTACTAATCCATGAGCGTTTATATATTCCACGAGCATCCTTTCAGTTAGTAAAAATCCTCCAAAACTTTTTCACAATACATTTTATAAAAAAGTACACGGATTTTTCATCCAACATCGGCACTTTATCTATTATATTTTTTAGGAATCCTTTCGGTTTTTTAAATCAAAACTCCATGGCACTACTAAGATTTTAGATTATGAACATTGATGGACAGACAAGAGCAGGAGTTTTAAATTTTATTGTACTAAGCACTCTTTGATTTTTTTTCTCAATTTCTTTGGTTACACTAAGATTCTTGTAGTTAGTTAAATCCGCTAAATCATGAGTTCAAAAAAAAAAAAAAATTTCGTTTAACTTAAATATTTATTATATACGATTATTTAAAAAAATTAATGACTTTTTTTTAAAATTTTTAAAATTTCAATGTAGATTTTTTTTGAACTTTTAAAAAACCAAAATCTAAAAAAATATCGTGTCTCCCGTATTATTTGTCACATAGGCCCCCACACAAGGCTTACTCAGTGAGACCGTTATATTCTGAATATTTTTATTGATAAATAAATAATAATAAATTAATAACAATAATAATTACAATAATAATACGTAACCCACGAATAATTAACATATCAAATTAAATGTTTGTATCAAATACTAGACACATGTGCGGGCCACGCTTTAAGGATTGCATTTCGAATTTGCTCCTATATAGAAATTTCCAGACCTCTCTGTATGCGACAGATCTGACAAAGTACACAAACACGCGAATATAGTTCCTTTAATTATTTTATAGACGATTTCGTTTAACATAATTTTTTATTGTCTAATTTAATACAATACAAGTTTCAAAAAGACAGGAAAATGTTTTTATTGTTGTACTTAAAATATATAATAGGTATTAATCGACTTGAAGTAAAATAAAACGTTTTTATAAGAAATGTTTAATTTATCGATCATTATATTAAAATCCGGGTGTATCAAACTGTTCAAAGTTATATTTTCTAGTCGTCGAACAATATACGCGTTTATTAAAAAAAAAAAGAGAGAGAGAGAAGATAGTAAGGATTTTTTATATAACAAAGTGTGCAGTTTTTATGTATTTTAATTTAACACTTTGCAGGGTAAATATATCCGCTGAGAAGTATATACTTGAGTACTGTGTATAGTGTTTAACACTGGAGTGTAATAAATTAAATGTTGCAACGGAGGATATAGTCTTTGACGAAGAAATTGTTTTTAAATTTCGGAATAGTTAACAAAAGGAAAGAAAAAAAAAACATCTCTCAATCGGTTCATTTATATTAAATTTTAACTATACGTCGCTATTCAGAATTTGTTTTTTGAAATCAATATTACAGAGCAAAACAGCGGTACATGTATACCGATTGTGTTTAAAGTAATATTATAATATTATATTAAATTCCACGCGACTATTCCGTGATCCTGCGATCGACGATATTATTATTATTTCCTCGGTATGCTATGAAATGTTGCCAAACTATCGAACAACGTAAAATATTTCAATATAATTAATAAATTTCAAGACGCGCGTAGTTAAACAACAGTGTGATTATTGTTTTAATATTTTCGTTCCCCGGAAGACAAAACCGTAATAATACACTAACGGAAATGAATGTCTCTGGAGGTCTGTCTTATTACTGAATGACGTTGTACGTTACTAACTTATTGTGAAGCGACGGTGTTGTTAAATATTTACACGGGTAATCGATTTGGCGGGACAAACGCGAAATACTTGTTATTATATAGGTAGTGTACAGGGATTTTACCTTCATTTAATTTGTTGACATGATATATTTAATAACCGACACGAATAAATATTGCCGAGTAAAATAAAAATTCCGGACCAAGGTTACGAAGTATTTTAAACGCTTGTTTGAAACGTTTTATACAAGTCCCAATTGTTGGAAACGATTTAAGCGTCCAACAGTTAAATACATATAGATTAACTAGTATGTTCCGAAAAGTGAAGATATTAGTTCCTATTCATTTTTAAAATACGTATGGAAATTAACAGTTCTTATTAGATAGCATTTGGTAAATAAGTGCAATGTTTTTTAATTGTTGTTTGGAGTTTGAATAATTATTTATGGTAAAATTATATTTGAAATTTTCTATAATGGTATATTTCAAAATAAATTATGTTTAAAACAAAAAACACGTTAAAAAAATTGATTTTTGTTTTTAAATCTTTGCAACCCTGGCCGGGACATAGTTCACACGGTAGGTAAGCCACTGTAGTTGTTGGTGGGGAATTTAACAGGAAAACATTTTAGACCTAATCTAATACGTGTGGTACGTGAATTAACAGGCATTGTGTTTGTTTATGATGTAATTTAAAGACTCCCATTGACTTTTTTGATCTATTATCAGACATTGGTTTGAGTAGGCCACAAGGAAACAAAAGGAACGTGTATTTATTTTTAATTCCTAATTGTAATACCAACAGAGATAAAGATACATTTTTCGAGTGTTTTGTTTTAGCCAATAATATTTCCGCTGAATTCGATTTGTGTACTGTCTCGTAACATAAATATAGCTATTTGAATTTAAGATTCGAGAATTAATTAAATTGTTCTACTAATAAAAATTCTGATAAAATAGTGTTAAAAATAATTAAGTTTGTATACCGAAAGCAATGATAAATCTAAAAACAGTTCTGAGCGGAGCTCGTTAAAATGGTAAGGTTTAATCTAATCAAATTTGCTCGAAGTCTTTGTATGATCATAAGTTCGTCGTAAAAGAATCACCCTATATTTATTTAGGTACGTATTAATTTTTTTTTTTTTTTTTGTATAACAACAACGTTATAATTTAGGGGATATTTGTAATTCTTATTGTCTTATATGCATATCGAATAAAAGTTTATCCATTCGAATGTTTTTATTTTTACAGTACGAATGCGTATATGAATATTACGGTTATTCTAAAACTTTCGAGTTTTGAAAACGACTCTACTCAAAATCAAACAATTTAGTTTATTATATATCATTAATATCTCATACTTATTATTATATTCGTCACATTATAATCTGAAGCATTACCTTTAATAATTTCGTTAAATTTAATTTTGTCTCCTTTATTTTTTGGTATAAATGGAATAGTGTATGCGTAAATTATAACGCGTGTTATTATACTGAAAATTAAAATACCTCAAATCACTATTATGTAATTTTTAAATAGCAAAAAAAAAAACAAAGCTCTTACAATTAAAATTATTAATTATACAAATATTAAGCCATTTAGTATTCCAGGCTAAGTGGCCTTATCATTTAGCCATTTAACAGTTATGCTATTCGGCCAATTAAGAATGCTCAAAATTGAATTGACTTTTATTGAGAACCATACAAAAATTGTACATGAGCTTTTATTCCCCGAAACAAAAGAACTAATGTAGTGTGAATATATTTCAACGATTTTCTAGTCGTTGTAATATTATTATTACTATATATGTGAAAGCATCTACTTTTTTTAAGAAATTATAAAATTTAGCTTAGGAATATTATTTAATACCAAAGAAAAAAGAAGTGTGTTTATCAGAAGAATATTTATAGTAGTTTTGGATAAGTATATATAGAATTGCGCAATTCGACGAGTACACTCGGTAATACGATTCCAAAGTTTAGCAGACTCCCCGTCATCACTGCAAGTAATCGGATTTCAGTGGGGTCGGTGGTTTTTCTACCGGGCTTTTTTTATATTCTGATTTTTTTTTTTTTGTCAAATAAAAACTTTTAACGCTACAACCCGATTTTTAATGGCTCGTGTCCGACGGTGGTGTGGGTGAGAATACCATAATGTATTTATTTTTTTCAAACCATTGACGTCAACACCAAAATTAAAAAACTAAACCAAATCTGTAGTAGATACGAGCTATCAATTTGTTTGTTTGGTACTGACACGAATAGGTACTTACAAACATTCTTGAAAAATTATCTACCTATTAATAACACAATTTTTGATCACAACCTAACCTAACTTGTAACTTTTATTCTAAATTGAATAACTTATTTTCATTAACTAACTTCTGTTGAAGTTTAAATATTAAGTACGCATCACATTGCAACAAGACCAACCTATCGAAAATCGTGTATTGCTTAAAAACAGAGATCTCTCCGTCGGATATACCTTGAGTTCCATTTTCGTATAATAAATTTGTTTGCCATTTTAGTATCTAAGTTGTGAATTAACGGTTTGTTCCGAATAGATTTAATTATAATGCGGCCCGTCGTATTTTTCGGCAAAATGTCCCACGCTCTCATTGAACCCTGATGAGCGGTCCAAGCATAATATACTCCGTCACAGTGTATCCAATTGCGTCTGCCGTTGCAAGAACTAACGGAAATATTTACAGTAACAAGATAAACATTTAGCACGTTCCAACATTAATGTTTGTCAATATTATCGATCTAGTCAGAGCATTAGGAGATCATTTTTGATTTTCCCATTTTTAGATTCCGAGTGAAACGAACTATGTATTAGTTTTACAAATATGTATATTATTTTTTTTTTATACTGTGTGCGTAAATTCTACCAGAAATCTTGCACCGATATAGACCCTTTTTAAAACTGAAATCAGAATTGAGCCAAATGACTAAGTTTCGAAATTATAGCTTTATGAATTTCTGATATTATGCGAATATTTTGTTATGTTAAACAACTCTATGTAGAGTATATACTGTCACCTTAAAAGTATTCTTTTCTTTATGGAGCTTTTCCGATGATCGACTACTTTATTATTATATACTAGTGGTGCAACAGGAATTTTCCAAAGGAGCGTTGGCCTTGGGCGCCACATTTTAAGTTGACATTATAATATTTTAAGACATGGTAAAAAAGCAGATTTCTTTTAAAAACTTCAACCCCAATCCACAGTTTATTCTCACTCATCAGAGCCAAATAATGTATTTTAGAGTCCAAAGTGTGCAGTATAAAATATAAAGTATGCAGCTCAAAATTCTAGTGTGTCGTGAAAAAGACATTGCCCTCGGTTGCTAAAAATGTAAACGTCTGATACCAATTATGCGTCTATTACTCTTCATTAACCATAACCCAAACATACCTGTGTGTATAAGAGAGCAAACGATCAATGAGAAACTCAAGTCAACATTTGTGAACGACATGTTCACGATCCAATAGGAATGAGGGAGGGGGGGGGTTCCGGACCAGAGATCCACTCATTAGTTTGCGCCACTAATTTCGAACTGAATTCCAAAGCCTGGAATAAAAGTTTAGGCCATTGAGCCGCTTGGCAGTTAACGTCATTTAGTAATTTTCAACGTTTAATTTGCCCCGCACTGAAAACTGGGGCCCGAAAACCGACACGGCTGTTATGCAGACGTGGATACGTCCGTGCGCGGGGATTTATCGTATTGCCGACGGAAGAGTTTGCGCGTTATTGTTTTTCGATGCCACGGATCATTATTTACGAACCGGCGGCACCGGCGAGTGTCGCGCGCGTTCCGGTCGCGTCGTTCGCGCATCGCATTCTAATATATTATTATGCACGTTTATGACGTTCAAAATGAATAATAGTCGCCTCGCAGATATAATATTATAATATTACCTATTACCGTAATATTAGCCACCCGCTGCCACAGTTACACGCGGTAAATCGCGCGTATTTTGCGATCGATCGCCCGATACCCGTTGCCGTTTTTAGCGCGTATACAGTACATTATTCCGTCACGACGACGACTCTATACCGTGTGTTCCAAAAGTCTCGCACCGCCCTGAGCATCTGCGGCAAACCGATATACTTTAATGCGAGTTTTTTTTTTTTTTAATATAAAACACGGGATCATTTTTGTACCGTTCGTTTTTGAACGTCAGTTGCGAGTAGAGTTGGTAAATCGAAGCCTCAGCAGCGCGATCAGTTTCTTCTTGGACTGTTCTCACATTCGTTGATGCAAAAATAACTATATAATTATCAGGCAGTGAGCTGCTGTGCAGCACTACGCACAGTGTAACATTCTGCACCGCCTCGATATTTTTCCAATTTGACTTACTTATGAACGATCGCCATGATCCATTCACATTAGGATAGGTTTGAAGTAGATTTTGTAAATGAAGAGTCTGTTGAGCTGGGGTATTGGACCGTCTCGTGTTTAAGAACTGGAAATAGGGCTGTGAAGCGTCTTTTTGCTTTTGTACTCACGTGAGCGTTGAAGATGAGTAACTTATCCACGGTAAATCCACGACATATTTTGTTTTGGACCACCGGGTAATGGAGAATTCCGAGATATTCAGATAACTCAGCCGCCGTTTTGGGACACGCTGTATATCCGATCGACGCAATATAGAATACCAGAGATACCTATACTATATTTTATAATCTCGCGCAGAACTATCGTTATAATAATAATAATATATCCGCATTATCCATCGCCCAGAGTAGTCCAAAATCGCATATAGCTCTACATAAGTAAAACCTATCTGTCGTTTGACACTATTGCTATTTTGTTCACGATTTTATCGCGGGTGGGAGAGGGGCACGCGATGAACACGGTCCCCATGCCGTTTAGCAGTCGTCTTCGGTTGCTCGCAACGAGAATATTATTATTATTATTATAATACTTATGTAAATCGTCGTCGGCGTTGTAAGTTTTAGTCGTTTAAAATGTTATGGTATCATAACGCCCGCCAGTGAACGCGCACAATACTAATTTTCAAATACCTATTTAATATACGGATTACGCGACGCGAAACCGTCACCAATATTATAAAAATCTAGCGAGGGAAATATAATCACAATATATGTTATGTTATAGGTGTGACTTTTTCGATGTATATTATATTGTTTCATTATACTGCCACGGTTAAAAGTCTAAAATTATTATCATCATTACCGCCACCCCCACATACTCATTTAACATCATTTTGGCCTCCTAGTCGACGACGCATGTCGTCATATTATGTCATATCCACGCAGTGAAATCACTCAGTTCACGAACCGGATGTCCAGATAGTGAAATTCAGATAGTGCGTATCGCGAGTTTTGACGAAAACACATTATACGGACACCTAACTTTTTATGAAACGGATAAAACCCGTATTGTAAACTTTGTGTAATTATTATAAGACAAATTTTAGTAATAAACATTTTTCATGAAATAAAACTTAACAATAGATTATATTGGGTATATTATATTATACATTTTTGTAAGTCATATGTTATATTATTTATACACGGTAGTGATAATACATGGTAATGAAAAAAAAAATTAACTATGTATTTTCCTATATTATTAATGATTTTTGCTCAGCGGTTGATTATATGACATTGACTGTTTTATAGCATATTATTTTTAAAACATATTTTCCATCTACTTGATTAGTAAAGGTGTTTTCACCTTGCATGAGCAAGACAAAAATCCATGGCCCATTGAAAATTCTACATTTTTATTAACTTAATCAGTTACAAATTAAATATTGTTCCCTGTTAAAAATTAATTTAAAATAAGATCTACGTAACAGACTAGCATTTGCTTAATGTTACTTGTTGGACAACTTAGGAATTGCATAAGTATCCGAAAAGGCAGTATTCATTAGATATCGGATTTAGAATTCTAGAAATTTAATTTGATATGTTTCTCATATAATATTAAGCACGGATAGAACATTATTATATTATATTTATTAATATAGAAAAGTATGATTTATCTAATTTATAATTAATACGTTTGGTTTAGTAAAATATCCCTATAATACATGTAGGTACATTATATCGTGTTATCAAATATCCAGTAAAAAGTTAACGGTGAATTGGTTGTGACTATAAAGGATTTCTATGCGAGTTTATTATTATTACGACGACTCTCCGAATAGAACAGTTATCGAATAAATGATATAATATAATATAAATTTATGTTCTTTTTAGGGTCCTATTAATATATGGCTTCCCTTCTCGCGTAAAAAAATTACAGATTATAATAATGTTTATTTAATAATAATAAAAAAAAAAAAAAAAATGTATGGTGTAAGTGTACGTGCCTAGGCTATAAATAAAATAAAATAAATAATATAATTTATTGTTATAGTTTTGTCCATAAAAATGTTTATTATAATAATTACACAATGTTTATAACATATGATGTTTTATCCATTTTGGATAAATCCATTGGAATCTCATACAATGTGTTTTCGTCAAAATTCACGATCTGGAAGAATTTCACTATCTGGACATCCAGTTCATGAAATGAGCGATCTCACAATGAGAATGTGACATTATATGCATACATAATATTTTTTTATACACTGCATAGAAAAAAAAATATTATCCTGTGGTATATTATACATTTCATACGTATAGGTTAGGTTATTAGGTTGTGTATAGTGATGTGAAATTACCCATGATTAATTGTTTTAATTAATTACCCGTGTAAACTACTGGTAAGCTACCTTTTCATGGTGATATTACAAAATTCATTTATTTTTATTTGAAAATTTGCACTGGTTACTGTATAATGAGTGATTTTTTCTCCTATCTGTAAACAACTTTTCTACCAGAAATATTGCACTCCATCAAAATATTCCTAGAGACCGGTTTGTTTGCATTTTGGATGCAGTTGGTGAATTATTTACCATGTTTTGATTTTTCAATAGAACTAGAACAATATTACTTTGAAGACTAAAGGGGACAGATAATTTTACCTTGATTAGGAAGGAGGACTCTGTCCCACCACTGTTATTTGCATTTTACATTTCATCGAAAATTATACGATTTAATACGGGCCAAAAACACTGATAAGTAAAATTGGGAGTTCAGCAGTTTTTAACCAATCGTTTAAAAATAACCAACAAATATCAATACAGGAGCAACTAGTATCAAGGATAACGAGATTGAAATATTGAAAAATTCATATTTATAATAAAGATAGAATTCGATATAGTTCACATTAATTGAGTATTATAAATCGAATTTTTTCTCAAGAAGAACAAATGTACAACTGTACAGCCACGATTATATAGTAATACAAGCACGAGACGTTAACTGACGGTTACGAAGTGTGGTCATTGACAGCCCGAATTGTTCAAAAGGTCAAAAACTAAGGAGCTTTTTGAACATTTTGGTATAAGGAACAGTATATGTGAACCCATGTTTGATAATGAATTAAATTACTGGTGAAGAAGAAACCATCATAGAGATAAAAGAAACTATAAAAGTACCCCTTAATAATAAGTTATGCGTGAAAAGGACAAAGAATAGTGGTTTTTGATACATTCTAAGTATAATACAAAAACAGTTATTCGACCTCTCGTGATTTTGTGTATTTACTTTCAATTCTTCAAATTGTTTCGAGTTTGTCTACGTCGCTACCCCCATATTCCACTGAAAAGCACTCTGTATATTTTTTTAGTCCACTAAAATTGATTTATAAACATTCAGTTCGATTAATTTAATCAAATATTATATTATTATATTATATTGAATAATATTTTTTGTTTATTATTCTACCAAACCGCTGCGATTTTTTCGTCCATTTGTTGTCGAGACTATATATTTGATTATTTGTTTTTTCTGCAGTATCTACTGACGAAAAAATGGAAATATCGCCATGAGTGGTGGTCGTGTTTCTTGACAAGTTTTTTTATTAAAATTAAAATACTCTATGTAAAGACAGTATAAAGACAGAGTTCGACGAATACCCTAAAATGTAATAATGTAGTTTCTCGTGGCGGTTAAATTGTTAAATTATTTTTATAACTTTTTTCATATATATATTTTTTTTTTATCATAAACATATTATTTCTTGTTTAAAAGTTCACGCGGTGTGCGTAAGTAGTGAGTATTGGGGATGGTTTATCAATTACTTTCGCTTCGGAAAAATGTCAAACGGCAAAAGCCAAACAGGAACTTCGGAGAGAGGGATAGAGAGAGAGACAGTGAGAGAGAGAGAGTATTACACGGGTTTTCAATTACCGCTCCGGGACCTCGGTCGAGCGGGTGATATGAGCCATAAAAAACGCTTGAAAAACAAAATAATAATAATAATAATAAAAACTCGTCGTTCAATTGAAAAAACTCGTTTAGTGAGCGATTTCGAAAAAAAAAAAAAAAAACATTTATCGCGCTTTACCTTCTTCCCCGTGCTACGCTCGTGTGTAGTGCATCGCACTGTACGATAATTGCGTCCGCTAAAACCACTCGAGAAACCGAAATCATTTAATATTATTATTATTATGATAAGTGAATGTCACCCACACGTACCGCAATTTCGAGGTTATATTCATTAACAATAATATTATTGTGCTCGTATATTATTATATAAATCGTCGCTCGGGCGGTCGTATATACGTAGAAATCGATTATTTCGATAATATTGTATAGTTTTGATGAATTAACTCGAACAAAAATAACAATAATATCGTTTAATTATTACGAATTCGCATACAGGGTGATTCCTTCATTACGAACCTGCGATTTTATTATATCTCTGTAAATTAAATAATAGGTACACAAATTCGATTTTGAATTTTTTTCTTCTTAAGATTCTGAGCAAAATGATGTTTTATTTCTATGGTGAGTGTTTTCGTTCTTGCCTGCATGTAAGCAACTTTTCTACCAAAAATCTTGCACTAATCTCAGATAATTTTCTATCTATCTGGTTCACAGAGGAAGTTGTTTTTTCATATTCATTTTTATAATTTTCTTAACGAACGGAACGGAAAAAATTGGAGACTTTGTAAAATATTTTTGATATCTAGGTTAACCTTGCAATAAAGAGGAAAATAAGATTAATACTATTCTCCTAAAAACCATTTTTTTGCTAGCAATGATTTGTATCGTTGCGTACAGATGTACATTAAAATTGCTTTACACATCTTCCATTCCTACTCCCCTTCTAAAACAGTGCTACAACCATGTATATTCATATGTTTATGGTGTGACAGTGTGGCCAAAAAAATCTGAAATACAACAACGATGTTAGCGACAGTGTTGGCTTTAATCACATAAAATATAAATCAAAGCACTTAACCCTTTTTTAAAATACGTACGTTAATTAATGGTGTTTACACTATAATCTTATGTAATCGATAAAATATCGTACAACAAAGATATGATAAGATACAATTTTTATTACGGTCGATGCTCCGTCCTGGCGTTTACATTATAATATAAAAAAATCTAATTCAAAAAAGTGTCGCTTAAGCCCTTTTGGCTTAGAACCGTCTAATGTTTCCTCGTAGATTTCACTAAAGTTTTATTTTCGTCGTTTTCATTAATTTGTCTATGTACATTATTTGACACGGAAATTCTCATTTTGGCGCCGTTATTTTAATGTACTAATGTATATTTTTGTATGTGCCATCTGTTTTGGATTTCCCGATTCTCAGTAAGAAACTTTTGGAGCTGTGCGCTCGAAAAATACAAATAAAAACCGAACTATAAATAATACAAACAATTCTTGTATAATTATTATTTTCGTCCAATCCTGTTTTATGTTTATAATAATACGTTTAAACTTTTAATTTGAATAAATAATAACTTTGGTCGTATTTATTGTTTACAAATCTAAAATCCAAAATTCTCACCCCAAGTATAACGATATTTTGCATTCCAACTATATTATAATAACATTTAATGAGTTACCAAAGTTTATGGCCGAAATATTGGAAAATAAATTGTCCACTTTGTTCTCACTCGGCTGCTGAAACATCGTGTGTATATATTAAAAGTTATTGTTAACGCGATCAGAGGGTCGATTTTATTTTACAAAACCTGTTTTATTATTAGAATGAAGTGACTTGCTGTTACCAAACATCAAGGTAATTATTGTTATTATTATTATTATTGTTGATATCATTATATTATCTATGCTCGTACATCATGCATTGGATTTTTTTTTATATTTTTAAATTACAAAATGTATACGTTAACCTTTTTAAGTAATCGTAATGTTTCACGTTATAACTTATAGATTTTAAAGTGTCATTATATAGGCCAATGAACTACCAATGTTAAAACGTAACAGGACAGAATCTGTCGTAAGACGATTTATGAGACGACGATAGCGCGTCGTGTGGATATCATGAGTCCTCTTAAGAAGACTACCAAACGTGATGAATTTACCATTTCTGTGATTTACGTGGCCTACACGTATAGGAAAAATGTGTTTGTGTATTCAGACCAATAGCCTTCGGGTCTCGTTGGTAATGTAAAAACTTGATTTTAGTGCCAAAATAAATATGAGAAGTTTAACAAAAAATATGTCATTAGAACTACAGGTTTTTTTTTTTTTTTTTACAAATCTTTATTTACCGATTTTATGTTTATTATTTTCTTTTAAATTCATTTAAAAAGCATATAAATTGATTTGAAAAAAAATCAAATAATTACTTTATATTCGTTGTTTATCTTGGCACCAACATCAAGTTCACATACAGTCAACCATCTCAGAGTGCTATTGGAAATTCAAAAAACAGCATTTTTGCCATGTTAGATATCCAACGAAAAATAAATGTTCGAGATGTTGCGTTATAGACAAATTTTTTGACAATTTTGAGAAAATAAAATTTTATCAACTCAAAATTATTCAAATTCAATCAAATATTTGTTCAATTGGTCCCGTGTCACTACTACAAGTGGTTGTGGTGATTATGAAATTCATTGAAATATTTACGAAAAACCGTATTTCACGTGGCCAAAACATACTAGGTCTATGGACTTAGTTTACACTTTCTCCTTTTCTATGATGAATTTTTAAAATCTTAATAATATAGTCTCTAACGTGAGTAGTTTTTAGCACGCAAAGTAGTTTTTAAATTCAAACTACGGGAGGTAGCGCGTATGTAACGAAAAACAGATAATAATACTTTTGAGTACTTAACGAATGCTTCAAAAATCAAAATCATTTGTACTATTTGAAACATTATAGGTATTATAAACGTCGACCGAAATACGTAAAATGCATGTAATTCTGACGGTAAAATATTATAATATTCAGCCGTCGTTCAAGGTGTATATTATACTCATAATAGCCATGATTAAGTTGGCGAAAATGCGAAATACCCTCGGTGACCCTACACGCTCGTATATATACGGAGCACACAAGCCAATCCAATTAGAACGAAAATCAAAATATGTATAATTTAGCTCGCGGGAGGAGACGACTGACGATCCTTTGCCAAGGATATTATAATAATAATACTTCGCATAACAATATTATTATAATAATAATATTCGCTGTTCGCCGATATGAATTAATACTAATTATTATTTCGTTGTTTGCTGCAAGTCGTTGAGGATTAAATATTTATTCGTGACATGACAACGACAATAACGACAATAATTATTATTATTCTCGTCTGTATTTGATATACGTACATAAATATCTGTCTACGAAAGCCAAGGGGCGTAATAATATCGACTGGGATACTATAAAAATATTCAAAAAACTTCAAATTCGTGAGTGAAGGGCATACAAGTGGTGGTGGCGTTAAACATGATATTGTTAAGAGATAAGATGTGGCGTGTAAGCGGGACCTTGGGAGTTTCTTTTTTTTATCGTTATGGTAAGGTTTTTTACTTCGGTAACGTCAAGCGATTTCGGTCAGTCAAACCGTCAAAAAAAGTTATATCTAGCCCTAAAGCATAAATATGTTTTTTTAAAACCATCGGGCATACTTTGTACCGTGTATAGACCAGAGCTGGATTTAGCCCTGCAAGTATATAGTCAAAGTCACACATTTAATGCCATCATCTAAGAACAATATTTAACTTAAACCTTTAATATGTTGCCTGTATAGTGTTAGAACAAACTAATATACCAACTACATAGTTTTTAAATCAAACATATTTCCTTTTTAAATTTCAAGCCATCCTTTTTCTAACAATTCTTTTGAGCTTAAGCCATTTGTCAAGACTGTCTATTATTACTGTCGTTGACGTAGAGTCAGAAATCAATGGTAACAATTAAAAATGGATTTTTAAATATCAATTATTTTGTGTAATGGTTCTCAAACCATAATCCGAGAGAGTAATCAGGAAGCTCTGCACAACTGAATTAAATCAACAAATAATTAAATTAAAATATATATTTTTTGTTGAATAAATCAAATGTTTTGTTTTTATAGGTTATAAAGAAACGAATTAAAATACACTATATTACTATTCATGCATTGATTTGTTTGATTTGTCGTTTAAGACAAAAATTAGAAATTGAGTGTGTCCCTGGTCTCCCGTGCCGACCTTATCTGTCTTTAATAATAATCAATACAATTTTCTATTTAAATTTCACAAAACTCGCGTTATTATTTTTTTTTTTTTAATTGCAAATTTGTAAAACATTATTCGATTATCCGTTTTACATATTCGCACTGTCCGTCAACTATTTTGTTATGATTAAATAATCGTTTTATTAAATTAATATCAACTACGTGTCGACGGTAAAATAATTATTATTTATGAAATTGACATGACGTCCAAACGACAAATTTTGAAAATACATTCCCGTAATTTATTAAAAAAAAAAAATAATAATAATTAACAATAACTTTTATACATTTTTTCCGTACTCGTCATAATTCAGTTACCTAATATCAATATACGTAAGATGTTAGAGATAAACAATATGAAAATGTGAAACAATACATTATTATTTAATTCGATTGAATTTTATAAAATATAAATTTGAATAACAATAATTACTATCAAATATAAATTATACTATTACAATACTTATTATAATAGCATATATTTTAAAATTAAAGTTGTAATTCCGACTACTGCGATATGACATATGTTTTACTAAACAATGAACGAAAATTTAAAAAAACTAATAAAAAATGATGCTCAATCTATGATTAACAACCCTCAGGATTTATATTTATCAATTTTTTGAATTGTTAAAAATGTATCGACTGACTTTCATTTAAACACAAATAATCGTCTTTCTGTATTTGGATCAGCTGCCAAAACTGAAACAAAATTAAAATAGCTGCA